TATATATATATAGTGAAAAGCTTATCTTTGTCTGTTTTCAGCCGAGTTCCTACCCATAGGTAACCAGTTTTCTTAGTATCTGAGGAATCTTCCAGTATATTGATGCACAAAGAAACAAATGGATAGATTATCTCCCTCTTTTCTTTCATACAGAGGTAGCACATTATATAAGTTATTCTATGCAGGATTTTCTCAGCAATTTACCTCTGACATGGACACTCTTGAACATCACAGGCCAGTTTATTTAGTGAAATGTTCCTAAAACTGGTTCTTCTGATATTTCCTGGTGATTAGATTCTGATTGTGTGTCTTTTGTAAGAATAGCACAAAAGTGCATCTTCTCATTGCATCTTATCAGGTGGCACACTATTTTGATTTGTCCCATGGCTAACAATGGTCATTTGATCATTGGATTAAGGTGGTACCTGAAAGGCTTTTACCATAAAAGCAATCAATCATATAACATGTGCTATTAAATCTACTGTAAGTGTTTTCAAAGACATTTTCTGCTATCTTATATATTGACTTTTTTAATATAACCTCATATATATAAATAACTTTTATGTGTCAACTCAGATTTTCTCAGTGTTGTCTGTGTCTGGGGTCCTGTCTCTATAGTTACAGACTACTTCATGAGGTCCCAGGTTCCTCCACCTGTGGCTCCTCCCATCACGCTAAACTGAAGCCGGGGAGTTGATTTCCTCAGCTCCGCTCTGCCAGGAGATAAGATTGAAGTGGTAGGTAAATTCCCCCTCAGTGCCTCCCTTTGTTGAACTGTTTCAAAGCATAATATTTCAATAAACTTGTCCAGAGACAGCCTGCATGGCCAACCGTGAGTTTCTGTGAAGGAGCTGTGGCCAGCTCATTAATGTAAAACCTAGCATCTGTTTCTCCTCCCGCGTCTTACCTTTTTTCTTTTATGCTTACTGCCCTGGGATTGTGCCTGCCAATAAAGCATTCACACTTAAATTTTTTCTTGGGGTCCATTTACAAGGATCATGGGCCTGACACCATGGGAGAAACTTCTTTTCAACCAGAGTAATGGAAACAAGTGTGCTTTTCCTGAATTATATGGAAATTGGATTATGTAACCAATCATATTTCTCTTTGCTGGACGCCATAAAGTTTAGAGACAAATGTACAGCCCATCTCTAGCCAGTGCATAAGGCAATATGGTGTAAATGTCTATTCCAATCTTTTTTTTTTTTAAGTTTATTTATTTTGAGAGAGTACGCACACACGTGCGAGTAGGGAAGGGGCAGAGAGGGAGAGAGAACATCCCAAGCAGGCTCCGTGCTGTCAGCACAGAGCCCAAGGCGGGCTCAATCTCACAAACCTTGAGATTATGATCTGAGCTGAAATCAAGAGTCAGAGGCTCAACCCCCTGGGCCACATCCAAAGTCTTACCGATTACTACAAATGCCTCCATACACATTTAAACCTCAATTCCAACTCCATTTTCTTAGGGCCGCAAAAACAAAAAGACAAAAAAACAAAAACAAAACCCATCAATGCTCAAAGGTTTACTCTCCAAGAACCGCATTTAGTATTTCAGATCAGAGAAAGGTAAAAGTCTGCATCTGGAAAAAACAAATGAGATTGTGATCAATACTGTTACATCAGAAGGATAAAAGACTGCGACTGCGTCGGGTTTCTGGTGGCAATGCAAAAGAAATAGATCTATAGGGAGGCCACCACACCATATTCTAGACTCAATTTGACCTCATCTTAACTATATTCTGTACTTCACTTTCTTTGGTGAGTTTCACCTTGGTCTAGTCTTGCTTCTCGCATTCCCTTGAAAGTGGGTTGAAATGAGCATTACAGAACAGAGAAGGAGACTGTGGCAGAGGGGCGCCCAAATCACAGAATCTGTGGGAAAGCGAACACGAAACTCAAGAGCCCAAACCCCGTTCTCACAGCTGTGAAAGGACAAGCTGGTGAGAAATCACGTCCGCTCTACAGAGTACACAGCATTTCTCAGTGGAACTCACAAGGCAGGTGAGCAAAGGAGAAACCCCCGTCCGCCTCACTGGAGAGTTTCCCTAGCAAGGGCCCTGTAGCAAGTGGGGCTACAGAAGTTTCCCACAGGGCTGTGCGCGGCGCGGAAGGCTCAAACACTCAGGCTACCGCTGGTTGCCAGGGGACACTTCACAGCCACCTCCTCCAATCAGGACTCATCTCTCTGTGCCCAATCACAGAAGCCAAGAGAGCTGTAGTCGGAGGTGAAAGGTCACGCTGCTGTTTGGCGGCCATTTCTCTGGAGGCTCCGCGATTCGCGCCCAACTGTAGCTACTCCAGTCACGAGGGACGGACGACAGCTGGGTCGGCGGCGAGTGGCCTGCAGGATTTGCTTATAGTCGCGATGGTAAGCAGGAAGAAAGCGACCGGAGTCGAAGAGCCAACGGAGAGCGGGTGACCGGCCTCGCCGGGCCCGGGGCTTGGTTCGCTCGATTCCCATTCATCCGCGTGGGGAGCCGCGCACCCGGTCGCCTGCCTCTTTCTCCCTGCTCTGCGAATCTGAGGCGCGCGCTCTCCTTCCCATGCCCTTCCCTCCCCAGAAGTGCCCCTGACCCCATGCCCCTGTTCGTTTGAATGTGAGCCTGAGGTACCTTGCTGTCTGGGACCACAGGGTCGAGGTAAAGATGAAGCGGTCTTTATGCCCCACTTATCCCACTCCAAAATCGGCTTTAATTTCATCATGTTGGGATTCCTGGCCCTGCAGCCCACTGGAACACAGAGTGCAGGCTTTGGAGCATTCATTTGTTTGTTTAGCAAAAAAATTTTTGAGCGCGCGCTACCAGATACTGTTCTAGGCGCTAGAGTATAAGGTGAAAAGTACTGAGGCGGACCCCGCCCTAGCTTTACTCAGTCGGGTGAGAGAGATAGACTTTAATCAAATAACATAAACATGTAATTACAAATAATGTGAAGTACTGAGAAGAGAGCAAACAGGATGCTGAGAGGGTGCAAGATGGTACATTAGAAGACAGGTCAGGGATGGCATCCCTGGTAGGATTTAACTAACTAAATAGGAAATAGGAAATCCAGCCCCTTAAAGAGGAAACGTGTAGGAAGCACGGGGAACACGAGCATATGGGCCCCAAGGCTGGAAAGAAAGCTTGACCAGTTGGAAAAATTGGCCGAAAGCTACACCGCTTGAACAGCATGGTTATGAGATAGGATGGGGAAGACCCTTAGGTGGTGGTAAGAGGTCTGGATTCTACTTCAAGTGCAATTGAAAGCCATGGAAGCATTTTAAGTAGAGATATCACATGATAAAGATAATACTTATGTGCATAAGTTGGAGAAAGACCAGAGTGAAAACTGGAAACCCATTAGGAGGTTATTGCAGTAACTCCCATGTTCTTTGAGATTACACTGCATATGCTTATCTTAGAGGGGTTTAGTAGCCAAGTTCCTTGGTTCTTTTCTTTCTTTGGGCTGATGGGTGAGCAGATGAGAGAAGGAAAAATCTGAATTCACTGGGAGATACTACTACTGGTTTGTTGAATAAAAACTATTGATTGCCCATATGTAGCCCGGAGGCTTTACTAAGTCAAATAAGACCCAGCAGACCACCTAGCTCCTGGATTCAAGTGAAAGACTGAAATGTCATCTGCCCCCTCCTTACCTCTGTAGCCTCCTGTTTGGGACTCTGACACCACTGGATTGTTTGTCCCTGAGATTGACTTGTTGCTTCACTCTTTACTCCTTTTACATAGGTAGCCTCTTGTATCTAGAACAGCCCTTTCTCCCTCTAGGAATACTTCTCATCCTTTAGAACGGAAGCATTACTTTGGGCAACCTCTCCTTTTGACTTTGGATTGATTGGTACCCTTACACATGCTATCTCTTCTTACTATATTGCAGTGCAATACCTATTTGTATGTGTTTTGCCTCTCCCCCTCCCAGTGTGAGCTTCTTGAGGACAAGGACTATAGTCTACATTATTTTTTTCGCAGCCTTTACTTTGTTTTTTTATAGCCTGGAACAATGAGTGATGTATAGTAGGTATTCATTGTTTAAGGGAATACTGAATGAAATTGCCTAACCGGGTATTTAAATTTCTCATATGCTCTTCAACAAATAAAAGTGAAAATTAATGCAGTAAGTGAGAGTCAAGAGCTTGCTTTATTTCGATACCATAAAATATTGGTGATTTTGGTAGAGGGGAGTAAGTAATGAAAACTGAGCTAAGGAAAAATAACTGATTGAGATCTTTTTTTATTCTTTGTGCAGAGTTTGCCCCTCAATCCCAAACCTTTCCTGAATGGATTAACAGGAAAGCCAGTAATGGTGAAACTTAAGTGGGGAATGGAGTACAAAGGCTACCTGGTATCTGTAGATGGCTATATGAACATGCAGGTAAGCTAAGGAGATAAAGGATCATTAAATTATATTTATTTTGCTTTACCTTAACTCCTCAAGGGCTTATAAAAATACAGTCAACTAAATTGATAAACATAAAACAAAATTCAAGAAAAAAAGTCAAGGTCAAGAAGGCTGTTATAATTGTGATAAACTGTGTACAAGACCTGTTAAACCAAAATTCAGCCATAGAATTGACTTCTAGTGGTTAAAATAAAAAGAACTCAGATACTTGATTCATAGTGGTATGAAGGAAACACAAATGGTTTTTTGTTTTTTGGGGGGGTTTTGTTTTTGCAGAACAAACAAAACTCTCCAAGCATTTAGCTCTGAAAGACATTTTTCAAGTGACATTTTAAAGTCTTTTAATGAATGCTAAAGACACAAAATCAAAGTAATTCAATAAAAGTAATTCTTGAGGGAGAAGATAGGCCAAGCCAAAGGAATTGTTGAACTGACTGCATGTGTGTTAAGCTAGCTTCTGTAAATGTTTAGGACAGGACTTTTTTGTTTTTGTAATTGAGGTAAAACATATGTAACGTAAAATTTACCATTTTAACCATTTTCAAGTATAGAACTCCGTGACATTAAGTACTTCACATTATGGTGCATCCATCACCATTATCCATTTCTAAAACTCTTATATCATCCCCAACTGAAACTATACCCATTAAAAGATAACTCCCCATTTCCTCTAACCCCTGGTAAACATTATTCTTTCTGTTTTCATTCTGGTACCTCACATAAATAGAATCCTACAACATTTGTCCTTTTGTATCTGGCTTATTTCATTTAGCATAATGTTTTCGAGGTTCATCCATGTTGTAGCATTTATCAGAGTTTCATTCCTTTTTGTGACTGAAATAATATTCCATTGTATGTATAAACCACATGTTAATCCATTCTGTTGGTGGACATTTGAATTGTTTCCACCTTTTGGCCTTTGTAGTACAATGAACATGGTTATATAAATATCTGTTAGAGGTTCTGCTTTCACTTCTTTTGGATATGTATCCAGAAGTGGAATGATTGGATATAAAGTAATGCTTTGTTTAATTTTTTGAGAAACTGCCATACTATTTTCTATTAGCAAAACATAAAGGATCAATTTCTCCACATCCTCACCAATATTTGTTACTTTCTGTTTTGATAATGGCTGTTCTAAAGAGCGTAAAATATCTCATTGTTTTGATAATCATTTCCCTGATGATTAGTGATACTGTGATCTTTGTGTGCTTATGGCAATTTATACTCCTTTGGAGAAATGCTTGTTCATGCCCTTTGCCCATTTAAAAACTGGGGTGTTTTGTTTCTTTGTTACTTTTGTTTCTTTGTTACTTTGTAGTAGTTTACGGCCGGGTTTTTGATGAAAGAGTTTGAAATTATATTTTCCTGAAGCATAGGTATTTATGTGACTGATTAATGGCAGATGGATTTTAAAGGTACTTGGTCAGTCCAATCATGACTCTAAGTATTCCAAACTGGTACTTCTTGTAGGAAGAGTATTAACAGGGGCACCTGTAGGCAAAAAGAGCTGAGATTTTCCTTAATTCAAGAGGTTACCACTTGAACAGATGATGCTTAGGTCCCCAAAGTTCTTGTAGAGCATGGTTTTGGCCTGGATAATTCCTCAAGCAGGAATCATTTACCAAGGCCATAGAAAAATCTGAAGAGTAATACCAGTCTGTTGAAATGTTCCAGACTTAAATAGTGGTAGTGATTACACAACTTTATGAATATATTAAAAACCACTGGGGGCGCCTGGGTGATTCAGTACAGGTCACAATCTTAGGGTTTTTGAGTTTGAGCCCTACACTGAGCTCTCAGCACAGAGCCCACTTTGAAGCCTCTGTCTCCCTCTCTCTCTGCCCCTTCCCACTGTCAAAAAATAAACATTTAAAAAAAATTCGGGGTGGGGGGAAAAACCCACTGACTTGTATCCTGTAAAAGTAAATTTTATGCTGTGGGCATATATCTCAATAAAAGAAAGAAGTAAAGAATACCCACAGAATATTTGGTTTTAGAAGTAATGTAGTTCCTAGTGAGCCTACCAGAGTTGTGAAGTGTATCTGAATAATTACAACCATGTTAATGAGGCTTTTGAGTTTGTTTATTGAATGAAAATTTATTGACTGCCCATTACGTGCCTGGCTGTGTGAATATACCAATGAACAAAACAAAGTCCCTACTTTGAAGGAGTTTGTTTTAGTAGTGGGAGATGGTAATATAATGTGATATCAGGTAATGATAGATGCTATGGAGAAACAGAAAGCAGAAACATAGTGTGCAGTGTTAGATAGAGAGCCAGGGAAAGCTCTGAGGAAGTAAATTTAATCCGAAAACAGAATTGAGTGAGGAACTGAAGAGAGTATCTGAAGAAAAAGCATCTCAGTTTGAGGGAACAGCAAGTACCTGGGCTTTGTGGCAGGAACTTGTTTGGTGTGTTTCGGGCATGGCAAGAAATCCAAAGCAGAATGACTTAGAATGATAGAAGAATGGGATGGTAGTCATAGAGGACTTTTTACGTGATTGTGATTTGTAAAAGTTACAAATAAAGTTTTTTACCTATGTGTGGAAGGAAACCTAAACTTTTTGACGTAAAGTTAGAAATAATAGTTTCCTGAAATAACTATAAATTATGGTTACTCTGAATTGTTTAACTTTCTCTTAAGAACTTATTTCTGTTTATTAGCACATAATTTTTTAAAATTCTTACTCAGTTCTTTGGTTTGGTTGTTGACTAATATAAAAGTGTTAGATATTTTAGCTATAGATTTTGTACCCATTGGGTTCTTCAATGTGCTATGGTGTTATTACTCAGTTAATACCTGGTTCCTTAGAACTGAATTTTTGGAAAGCATTTAAATCACAACTTATTCATAAATTGGAGACTGTCTTCCTTGACATGCTGTTTTAATGTCTAATACAAAGGAGTGTTACATAACTGAGAGATTTAAAAACTTACATTGAAACAAGCTTTATTATATATTCTATATCCATCGATGTTAACTTTACTGAATGTTTATATGAAACCCAAAAGTACTACAGTGGTAAAAGAAAGCTAATATCCTGTTAATTATAGGTAAATGTGAGTTGTTGGTATAGAAAGGTTTCAGTTAATAAGTTGTCTCACCAGTATTACCTAACATTTTAGGTAGTGTTACACTATTTTTCTCCTGTATTATTATACTAATATACTTTCTTTTTATTTAAAGCTTGCAAACACAGAAGAATACATAGATGGAGCATTGTCTGGACATTTGGGTGAAGTTTTAATAAGGTAACAAGAATAGTAGTATATGTAAGGAGTTACTAGTGAGCACTAGAAATCCCTGTTTTAAATTAGTGTCTCAATTTCAGAATTACTTTCTTTAAGTCACTATTAACATAATATTCTACAGTTAGACTTAAAGAGTTTTGAAACCCTTAAACTTGTCAAAGAAGATGGAAATTTTTTGGAGTTATCCTTAAGATTTTTCTAGTGTTGATATTAAACTTTCTAGCTCTTGGTGTAACCTTTTTCAGTGGTTTAGGTGGAAGAGCTTGGTTTTGAATTTTAGTTGGGTCTGGCTGCTATTAGGGATTTTCACTATATTCATTTTGAAATAGCTTCACACCTTCAAATTTGAATCATTACCTTTGGAAGATCATAAAGATACCATTTCATAATATCTACTTGGTAAATAAGTGCCATGTGCTTTTGTAAAACTTTTTTTTTTTAAAAAAGAAAGAAATGATGCATTGTAAATATTGTAAATATCTAACAATAGTAATTCAGATCTTAATGTGGTTTCCGGTTGGAACAACAAAATGGACTGTTTTTCTATTTACAGGTGTAATAATGTCCTTTATATCAGGGGTGTTGAAGAAGAGGAAGAAGATGGGGAAATGAGAGAATAGCATCTTTTGTGGGGAATTTTTTTTATATATATTTCTAGACAATAAACTTTTTTTTTCAATTTGTCTTGTGAACTATTCCTATTCAGATATTTAAACGCAGAGCTCAAATGTTGAAACAGTTGAAAGATTATTCACAGAATTAATGCTTTAAAAGACACTCAACTTCATTCAAGTTGGTTTTCTTTTATAAGCTCAGTATTCTTTTTTTTTTTTCTATAGGGAGAAAATTATATGCTTAATAAACACTTATGAAGGTGAATTTCAGTGCTTTTCTTGTAATACTATAGTAACTGAGACCTTTTAAAACAACTTTCTTTTAAAGTTATTGAACCACTTTTGTCATGTATAAAGTTAAATATTTCCTTAGAATTAATGTATACTGTTTCATTTTACTTAGTAGTCAACAAATTACCTGTTAATTTAAGTTTTAAACTCCTCAAAACCATTTAGATGTTTTAGAGTTATACACTGTTAAAATGTATACTCCACAGTGATAAAATGTACACTATGAACTGTGGACTGGTTGAAAACAAATTAGATCATTTAAAGTCCTAGATTGTCAGAGAATGCCATTATTGCACTTTAATGGTCATTCACCACATTGTTAACGCAATGTTAAAGGAATGTAACATAAAGTAATGTAAGTTAAAGTACACTTTGGATGTGTAGCTCCAACTGGGATAACCCAAAGATATAAATGTTTAGCTTATGGTATACTACTTAGGATATGGTAATAAAAGCCTTCAACAAAAGAAAATAACTCCCATTGCCAATCCTATAACCACGAGAATAAGTGCCTGTCTTCCTTAAATTGGTTAGGCCAGCATATGGGGCAGAATATTGCCATTACTGAAAACCAAAATCTACAAAATGCCTAAAACATTCTGGCAGTAAATGTCTTAGTGCACCTATTCAAGTGAAAAAATATTCTTCCTCTAGTGATTTTGTTCTTGTATCCTTGACCAAAAGTAGTTCATGTTTGTTACCAGATGGAGGTTTTGAACGATAGGTAAGTCTTCTTCCCAGCTGAAACAAAAGAAACAATACTTACTATTTTTCATCATAACTGTTTTCTATTGAATTATAAGTAAAATAATAACATTCACTTGATTTTTCCCAGGAATTACATGGCTCAAAATAGTAAAAAAAAAAAAAAAAAATCAGTTACAAAGGGATTGATAACCTAATGGGTGTCCAACATGCTAGGCAAAATTACATAATAAATAGAGCACCATAGTGTGCAAGAGACAGAGCAGTTAGGTTTTATGCGAAGTTGGGTGATTTAGGTAAAGTCATCAAAAAGCATGTTTCACAATCAGCAAAACTAAAAGGCCACCAATGGAATGGGAGAAGATATTTGCAAGTGACATATCAGATAAAGGGTTAGTATCCAAAATCTATAAAGAACTTCTCAAACTCAACACCCAAAAAAACAAATAATCCAGTGAAGAAATGGGCAAAAGACATGAATAGACACTTCTCTAAAGAAGACATCTAGATGGCCAACCGACACATGAAAAAATGCTCAACATGACTTATCATCAAGGAAATACAAATCAAAACCATAATGAGATACCACTTCACACCTGTCAGAATGACTAACATTAACAACTCAGGCAACAACAGATGTTGGCAAGGATGTGGAGAAAGAGGATCTCTTTTGCACTGCTGGTGGGAATGCAAACTGGTGCAGCCACTCTGGAAAAGAGTACGGAGTTTCCTCAAAAAATTAAAAATAGAACTACCCTATAACCCAGCAATTGCACTACTAGGTATTTATCCAAGGGATACAGGTATATGCTGTTTCAAAGGGGCACATGCACCCCAAGGTTTATAGCAGCACTATCAACATAGCCAAAGTATGGAAAGAGCCCAAATGTTCATTGATGGATGAAGATGTGGTATGTATATATACAATGGAGTATTACTCAGCAATCAAAAAAAAAATGAAATCTTGGGGTGCCTGCATGGCTCAGTCAGTTACGCATCCGACTTCAGCTCAGGTCATGATCTCGCGGTTCGTGAGTTTGAGCCCTGCGTTGGGCACTGTGCTGACAGCTCAGAGCCTGGAGCCTACTTCAGATTCTGTGTGTCCCTCTCTCTCTCTGATCCTCCCCTGCTCTCACTGTCTTTCAAAAATAAATAAACATTAAAAAAAAAATTTTTTTAATGAAATCTTGCCATTTGCAACTACATGGATGGAACTAGAGGGTATTATGCTAAGCGAAATCAAAGACAAATATATGACTTCACTCATATGAGGACTTTAATGTACAAAACATGAACATAAGGGAAGGGAAGCAAAAATAATACAAAAACGGAGGGGGACAAAAACAAAAGACTCGTAAATATGGAGAACAAACAGGGTTACTAGAGGGGTTGTGGGAGGGGGATGGGCTAAGTGGGTAAGGGGTATTAAGGAATCCACTGAAACCATGTTGCACTATAAGCTAACTAACTGGAATGTAAATTAAAAAATAAAAACAAATTTTAATAATGAAAAAAAATCATATGTTTCAGATAGGGCCAGCCTAGAAAAGCACCATATTTGAGGCCAACATTGCACTTCTCAGTAAGTACCATAGCCGGTTTCTCCCCCATTGGTTAGAAGAGATCACTTTTCTTGGCTGAATACCAATTGATTGGCATTTAAAAATCCTGTTAGATAAAAACGTGAGAAAACCATGTACATCTTCTTAAACATTAGTAATCCTGTCGGCTCTTAGATAAACCTTACAAATGTGAGGAGTGTGGGAAGGGCTTCTGTCGGTGTTCCACCAGGAGAAGCTTAGGGAAACCTTCGGTTTGTACCTATTCATTCCTTCTAAGGCATTGACTCAAGTATATCAATTATTCTTCTCTTTTAGTCTCCTTTTTTCCCTCCTTTATTTTGTTTTGCTTCTGTATCTGAATTTGTAAATTAACTGGATGAGAAAACTTCTATTGAAGATGAGATTTGATGGGACATCTCCAGTGTCTCAAAAGGGGCACTAACCCATCGCAGAATTTGACATTCCTGGCCCAAGGTAACTAACGAGAGCAGTCCTCCCCATCATTTTATCAACCAAAGTGTTCTTAGTGTCTAGAATCCCAGAATTCCTCGTAACATCAACTTTTTTCTCTGTCCAATTTCTTTTGGTAACCTTTGTCTTTAATACTGAGCAAATTGCCAGTGATGAAGTGCCCTGACTGGGTAAGAACTATCAGAGGTCTTTGTACATTATCAACTTATCAGATTGCTATTGTTTTTCCATTTTTCTTCTAGTTTTAGTTCTCTCATTTTTAGCCTGTTAATTCAATTCAATAAGCATTTATTGAGTATCCACTATGTGCTAAGCTTTGGGGGTACAAAGTCATAAAAATTCACAGTTTGGGGTGCCCGGTGGCTCAGTCAGTTAAGCCTCATTGATTTTGGCTCAGGTCATGATCTCAGGCCAGTTGTTGAGATTGAGCCCCATGTTGGGCTTCACACTGACAGTGAGAAGCCTGCTTGGGATTCTCTCTCTCCCTCTGCCTGCACCCCACTCATGCACGCGTGCTCTCTCTCCCAAAGTAAAAAAACCCTAAAGACTCACGGTCTAGAAGGAAAGATGGATATATTAAGAATAATCATTTCAATGTGATGGGTTTAGTGAATAGTGTGTATATGTGGATGGGTGATGAATGGTAAATTCTCCTTTGGGAGAAAGAGGACAAGTCAGGTCTTCATAGGAAAAGCTAAACTAGAGAAGTCAGACCCTTTTAAAGATGAAATGCTTATTTAAAGTAATTTAAGATCATCACTTTTTGACATATATATTAACAGTTACCACACTTCAATTTTTTCAAGTACTTCGCTCAAAAGACTGGTTGTGAGGCACACAATAAACCTTCCCTGTAGGTTAGAGTGGTAAGAAGTGGTAAGGTTACTGTGGTAAGAATCAATGTCCATGGTAGCTTTGCAGATAACCATGGAATTGGTTTCTCTGAATATATTTCAGACCCTAACCCGAGGAAGGAGAGTAGCAGATAGAAACACAAGGCCCTCCATACCCAGTGTGAAGTCATGGACCACATGGACTCAGTGACTGCCCAATCCCATACTTATTATTGGACAGGTGATCTTGCAATATAAAGAGCCTTGACTTCTGGTCCAGAATCTGCTGCTAAATCTGAAGCGACTCTGGGTAAATCATTTTAACTTAAACTATTAATCTATTTTTACAATATGAAGATGAGAAGACCCATCCAATTATATGTAATTCTCTGGGTTTGCCGTCTTTGTTGTTGAATGAAAGAAGCAAGGTTCATGGTTACTATTTGTAAGAAGGAGAATATATACAATAACTACATAGAACATTTCCAGAAAGATGCAGATGAAACTTAGGTGGTTGCATCCAGGGAGGGGAATTGAAAATGACTTACTTTTCACTAAATACTCTTCTATCTTTTGAACTTTGAGCCATATGCTTGTTACTATCTAAAAAAATTATTTAAAGAAAAAATTCTCTGGTTTCATGAACCTGGAGCTAAAAGAAGTGAGGCGAAAGGTTTTTACTAAAAAGTGGGTCTAATGGAGAATCGTAGACCCAGATATTTGAATTATCCTAAAAGTAACAAGGAATCAGAGACCAACTGAAGCTGTGACCAGGAAAGACTATTTTGCTAAAGTTCACCCTTGATAAATTAGCTGAATTAGGTATTTCACAGAAGCATTCACATATTAGATGTAGCTGGACCTACTGATAACAAAACACAAACCTTTTTCTTTGGTTGTGCCACTGCCCTTTCCAGAGCAGCTTTTAGCCTTTCCTCTTGGTGTCTTTGTTTTTCTTTCATTTTATCTTCACGTAACCTGTCAAAAAAGGAAAATATTTTTGCAACTATGAATCACAAAAAGTAGAAAAAAGACCTATAGTATTTGGTAATGAACTACCTAAATATTTTATGATTTCCCTTAAAGTTAAATAATACTTTACCTTCACTCATACTATGGCTTTTGAATATTCAGGGGAAATGTCAACAACAGATCCCATTCGTGTTAAAGTGGGAGAAAATGCTTGTCACCATTTTGGAAGGAGTAAATCTATCTACCTAGATCTTGGTCTAAAACAACCACCTCAACAAAGCCTTCTTGTTACTCCACTTCTGTTTTATCACTTTACAGTTAATGTGGACAAGGCCACTTGAATTAACACCCAGCCTCCTTTAGTCTATTTACTAAAGTATAATGTGTAGAAAAATGCATGAATCACAGTGTATATTATATAGTTCAGTGATTACCACAAAAGTGTACTTTTCCAGTTAATCTTTTTGAATGGTATCCTGAAATTAAGACCAAGAAATGCTATTTGTCTTGTTCTCTTTAGAGTTCTTGTAAGGATAAAATTATATAAAATGACCTCTGCATATTGGGCCAATGCCTAATGCAGAATAGGCCCTCAATAAGTGATAGCTATTTTATGGACTCCTATAATTGTAAGTGTAACATTTACTGAACATTTTTTATGCAAAATTAGGTTTATGTGTCTCTAACTCATGGGAAAAATAAAATTCGTTTTGATAAGAATGACAAGCAATTAGAATTAGATTCATGTATCACTATTGAAAATAAGTTGTAATTACAGTCCAATGAAAATTATTTCCTATTGTAGAAAAGAGGCAAGTACTGTTAGTGTAATCACTCATAGAGGTCTTCCCCCCCATTTTCATTTTCATTTTATTTTTATTTTTTCCATTTTCATTTGAGAGAGAGAGAGTACACAAGCTGGGGAGAGGGGCAGAGGGAGAGAGAAAGAGAATTCCAAGCAGACTCCACACTTGGCACAGAGCCCAAAGCAGGGCTCCATCCCACAACCCTGGGGTCATGACCTGGAGAGTTGGACCCTCAACTGACTGAGCCACCAGGTACCCTAGTCATAGGTCACCTTATGGAAGGAGTAATCTTTTATTTACAATTTAAAAAAATTTTGCTTTATATTCAATAAAATCCCACCAAGATCACCTTTATATATACTCTGGACTTCATTTTTATATGGAGGAAACAATATCCCCCAGTAAGCAATAACAAAATATCTAACATTAATGCTAAATATTTGAATACTTATGTGTCAAGCATGCTTTAGTACTTTTACATAGATTATTTAATTTAATCCTCACAGCAACCCTATGAAATACTATTATTAACTGCCATTTTAAAGAAAACAAAACAGACTTGAGAGGTTTTGTGGTCTACCTAATACCTAAGGTCACAAAAGTTGTAAATGGCAGAACCTGCAGGTCAACTATAGTGCTCGTCTGCCTCTTAACATGTTTTTTTTTTGCTTTAGCATGAATGTTTTTCCACCTATCAGCATTCTGTACGTGCCACATTATACTAGGGATCATATATTTATAATCATTGCCTGAAAGGTAGTATGTACATAAAATCCTTGGGGCACCTATGTAGCTCAGTTAGTTGAGCGTCCAACTTTGACTCAGGTCATGATCTTATGGTTTGAGAGTTGGAGCCTAGAATTGGGCTCTGTACTGGCATTGCAGAGCCTGCTTGGAATTCTCACTCTGTCCTCTCTCTCTGCCCCTCCCCTGCTTGCACTTTCTCTCAAAATAAACTTAAAAAATTAAGATCCTTATTTAACTCGGTATGGAAATTTGTAAATCAGTGCATTCTCCTGGAAAGGCCCCCAGGTAGGCAAGGCTGTGAGGGTGGGAGGGGGTGCTGTTTGAGGGATGATAATCCTCATGTAGTTGTCTTGAGGACCCTAATGAGTTAATATGTAAATGCTGTGTGTGTGAAGTGTTGGCAGTTTGCGCTGAGGAAGAGTTATGCCCTCATTGCATGGCTCTTTCAAACAATTCCTTCATATGTAGTCTCCTTCCAGTGAAAGGCTCTAATTCTATGCTTTGGGCCCTCCATAACGAGTGCAATTCCCCTTCCATAAGATAGCTGTTCAAAAATTTTTGTATAAGTAGTGAATATTCATTCTGAAAATCCATATTTTCAGGGTAAAATGACCCTTCACCCATCCCAAACTGGATCAGTTGCCCAGGTGAACCAGTGCTCATTACCATTGCTAGTGACACATTATTTCATAAGAATATTTGATGACCGTGTCTCCCACATTAAATAATAGCTGTATGAGAAGGACATACTCTACTCATACTCATTGGGTCTACTGCATTTCTATCGCGATCCTTGCCATGTCATAGGGGCTTGTTCAGTGTTTGTGGAATCACAGCAAAAAGTTTCTCAACTCATTAAGTCATTCACTACCCTCATATCATAAGACTTTGACTATACTTTTGCCGCCGTTCTTTCTGTTTTATCCTCTCAATTGTCTCCACATTTTCTTTGGGAATGGATTCAATGAGATCACTCAATTCCACCAGGCGAGACTCTACTTTTACCAGCTTTTGAACTGGGTTGAGACTGCCAACATCAGCATCTCCAATGCAGACCTTGTATACTTGATTAATTTTTTTACTAAGAGATTCTATCAGTTTTTCCTGAGATTGAAAAGGAGAGCAGAAAACATAAGATCTCATCACTATTTCCTTGTTCATTCAATAAATGTAGAATTCCATTTTACTACATTGCAATGAAATATAGTAGCTCTTATATGCTACTAAACATTTCTTTTTAAAAGAAAAACTAATAGAACAGTGAGACGATGTAACAGTGATTATATCATAATTTATAGTCACATTATTACTATAGTAACACCTTGGATTATTTTAAAAATATTTCAGTCTAGGTATAAAAAGCAATTTTAATATGACAATACCTTTTTGCTTGAGTGTTTTCGTATATCTGATTCCTTAAGCATTCAAGTAGAGGCACCATATGTGTACATTTTAAATCCTTTTTCGGCCACTCCAATGCATTTCCTTGCAACGCAGCACGTGAGCTTCCTTTTTTTGCACTTATTACTCTTAATGAAACTGTAATCATCCTGTATGCAAGCTATCTGTATACATGCCTTATCTTCCCTTCTAGACTGTAAACACCTGGAGTTATTTTGTACATTTACACGTATATCTAAAGCAGCACTTTGCATATAACTATGCACTTAATAAATGTTTGCTGAATAAATGAGTGCATTCTCTCTGAGGGAAAAAAAAAAGTTACCAGCAAACAGATTCCCAGGTTGGCCTGCAAAGCCTACTGAATTTAATTTTCATTCATTCCATTGGAAGCCATTGCAGTATTCTGATCCAAGCAGAGGCTTAGGCCAAACCTTGCTGATCCCTGTGCCTGGCCACTGCGCTGTTTTAACTGTTGGTAGAGATGCTCAAGCTTGTAGGTAATGTGTTTCAAGACCATAAAATTCTCATTCTTTCTCCACCGTGTACCCGTCATTCGCAGTTAAGAGGACCTCAATAAACTGCTGGGCAAAGTAAATCATTCTCCAGGTAGCATCCTGCCCCCATGCCTGCTTCTGCTCAAGAAGATGAGAATCATCATAAAGCCAAGGACAAATAACACTCAAGACGTGGCTCCAGGCCATGGGACACCCCTCCTGGAATCAGACTCCTTACAGAGCTACCAACACTTCATTGCAAGTCAAGATCTGTTACTAACGGTTTACTTCCAACAGCTTGTCCCTCCAACCTCCTGGTTTAACCACCTTTCTGATGGTCCCATTTACCATTAATCACCCCTTTTTTTCTCTCTAAAGTAACACTTACTGTATTTCCTGTTTATATTACAAACATGTTCCTTTTTACACCTGAAACTAATATAACTGTATGTTATACTATACTGGAACTAAAGTTTAAAATTTTTAAAAAATTCTCCTTTTAGAAAATTGAAGAAGCATAAAGTAATATTAAAGGAAAAAGTAAAAGCAAAAGCAAAAGGCCTATTTGCCATAAAGCTCCTTTTTTCTCTCCCTTTCTAAATAACATTAATTTCCTATTTATATTAACACTTCTAGGGGCGCCTGGGTGGCGCAGTCGGTTAAGCGTCCGACTTCAGCCAGGTCACGATCTCGCGGTCCGTGAGTTCGAGCCCCGCGTCAGGCTCTGGGCTGATGGCTCAGAGCCTGGAGCCTGTTTCCATTCTGTGTCTCCCTCTCTCTCTGCCCCTCGCCCGTTCATGCTCTGTCTCTCTCTGTCCCAAAAATAAATAAACGTTTAAAAAAAAAAAAACAAAACACTTCTAGAAAACTTTAGAAATAGAAAAACTATAAAAGGAAAAATAAAAGTACACCCATCCACCAAGGAGAAGTGTATATTAGGTATGTAAAAACAATTTTGCTGCAAGGGGAGTACATTAAAAAAATTTTTTTTTAAAAATATTTTGAACACTGATGCTGAGAAAAAGCAACTTTAATATGAGAATGGCTAGTAGTTGATGAAAATTTCTGAAAGAGACCTTTTGAACACTTAGAGTTTCAGAGGTGGATGGACTTTCAGGATGTCTTCTGTTTTTCAGAATGTTTTTTTTTTTTTTAAGTTCCCCCTGTGAAACAGGAGAGGAAAAGACAAGGAGAGAGATTTTCCTGACAAGGTAAGAACAGCATAAGAAATAGGATTGGGTAATGAGGTTAAAAAATAAAGACTCACGTATGAGAAAGAGATTGAGGGCCTGGCCCAACAGTGCAGAGAGGCAAAGGAAGTGGGAAGCTCAAGCTACAGGCCTCCTGATGACAGAAGTGAAGTGTCCAATTCCTGGAGCTGCCACTAGATGGCAGGCCCAGCCCAGAGTCCCCCGGAATAGGGGCTACCTGAGAGTCTGCAAGGGATGGGAGGAGTTCCACCTGCTCCCGGGAGGTGGAGTTGGCCAGGATTGTGGAAGACCAAAACTGGGATAAGGACTTTGTATGCCTTCCAAAAGGGGAAGGGAAATGATCTGACTAGAGCGATGCTTAGGAGTAATAATTACATCAAAATTGGATAGAGGAGCAGGAAGATGTCTTGATGTCAAAGGATTCTGTAATTCTAAGCCCTGCCACATTCTGCTGTGTGCTGACTGTAAACAAGTCTCAATTGAACTGGATCAGCTCCCTGTTTGGAAGAATAAAACCAGAGATGAATACATTCTGCAAACTGCACAATAGCTTACATTCCATTTCATGTTCAATGAAAATGAACAAGTAACTGCTACACAAAACAACGTGGATGAATCTCACAAACGTAATTTTGAGAGAAAGAAGCCAGGTAAGCCAAATATATTACCTGATTCCATCGATATCAAGTTCAAAACATGGAAGCTAATTGATGGTAAGAGAAGTCAGGATAGTGGTCACCTTTGAGGGATGGTAGAGACTGGAAGGGGGCATGAGGATTTTAGGGGTGCTTATGACAGTCTATTCCCTAATCTAGGGGTTGGTTACATGGGTATGTTCACTTTGAGGAGATTTCTTAAGAGAGAATTTATAATTAGCTTATAATTTGAGCACTTTTCAATATAACTTTATACTTAAATTTAAAATTTTATTTTAAAAGTAAATATTGAATCCATAAAAAATGTTGTTAGGGATTAAATAGGAGTGTGGACATTTTAAAAGAATAAAATCTTGATTTTATAGTTACAGTTCCAAAGTAACTATGATGATTTATGAATATCAAAATTAGATACAACTATGTTTACTCATAAAGGATTATGTTTTGCACATTTTGAGATCTGAAAGAATGGGAGTGATTCTAAGGATACTTTTTCCCTATCAATTTTCCTGCTCTGTTCCCCCTTTTCCACCCTAGCACTTCCCATCTCTAGGAGACACTATGAATTACTGGCCCCATTTTCTCAGAGTGTGCAATACACGAATGCCAAAATGATATTTGTGACCAAAATTTATAGATAATCTTTTAAGAAGTAATTTTCAGATCAATCCTACCTTCTCTGTTTAGGGATCTGGTTCCCTCAAAATTTAAGAGTATTGAAAATGTTACTGTTTTTCACAGCCATCCTAAACATGGATGAAAGGGGTTTGGTAAAGGAAGGGTGAAATATCACTGATCTTTATCTGACATTTTTTTATGTCAGTCAATTTCAGAATTATTTAAAACAATTGAAGAGTGGAAGCAACCCAAATGTTCATCAATGGATGAATGGATAAACAAAATGTGGAATATGAATACAATAGAATACTATTCAGCCATAAGAGGAACTAAGTTCTGACACATGCTATAGCATGGATGAACCTTGAAAGCATTATGCTAAGTGAAATAAACCAGACACTAAAGGACAGCTATTGTATGATTCCATTTATATGACGTACCTAAAAACAGGCAAATTTATAGAGACTGTAGGATAAAAGTTAACTAGAGGCTGATAAGATGGAGGTATGAAGAATAATTGTCTAATGGGTAGAGAGTTTCTATTTTGGATGATGAAAAATTCTATAGTGATGGTTACACAGTATTGCCAATATACTTAATGTCACTGAATTGTACACTTAAAATGGTTAAGTGATAAATTCTATGTTACGTACATTTTAACACACACACACACACACACACACAAAAGATTAAAAAAAAAAAAAAAAAAAAGCCAGCATTGAAGAACTGCAAGGTGACTGTCATCACACTTCCTGCTTTAGCAGTGCATGACCCCACCCCCTCCTAACTCAGGGTACTATATACCACCCTAGGAAATGTGTGTGTGTAAACAAGCCATAAGCAACCTTTGCTTTTGTAACCCTGCCCATCTTATGGTTAGAGAGGACAATCATCTGATTGAGTTACCCCAAATCTACCTCTTTGAAAATCAAGTTCATAACCATAAATGTGGTATTAGCTTCACATATGAGATTTGAATTTTTATTTCATTTGAGATTTTTTACATGGAAATCATTGTTAGCTGAAGTTTGTTGTGGGTCTAGAAACTAATCATTCATTCAACAAACATTTATTGAGCACCTACTTAACAGGGACACTTAACATATCTAACTAGGAAGGGGAATACAGTCCCTGCCCTGGAGGGGTTTGCACACAGCTGGGAGAGACTCATACATAAATAGATCCAATAATGGATCTATGTCAGCAAGAGAGGCTGACATCTGTTAAAAGCTCAGTGCTGGACTGATGTTGCAGTGCTTCATGTGTTAGTTATTTGCTCTTCAAATTACTAACAAAATGATCATAGACAATGAACTACTTCATGTGTATACACTTGACTAAAATATATTTATGGGCAGAACAATTTCAACATCATACTTTGTAATAATTAGAGCACATTTTAAGAGAATCCCAATGCCAGTTTGAATGCTTTCTATCTACTATGTAAATTGACTATTACATATGGACAAGATAACTCTAAACTGGTTTTCTACCTCTGTCATCAACCCAGGACTTGTGGTGTGCTTTAACTCCCCATTCCAATGCTTAGTGGACAAGGAATGCGAATTATTATTAACATGAGCTAAAATAAAATAACCATTGGCAAAGAATGATTACCTGAGCATCTGATTTAAATTCTCCAAAACTAAATAGCCTGGACCTTAATTCCAGGTCTGCAGCTTTTTCCTCTTCTCTCACACAGTTAGCCTTGAGCATTTCCTTGTGCTCCAAAAGAAATGCTATGTTGCTATTTCTATTGCAAAAGAAGAAAGAGACCCATGTCTGTAATTTGTGGTTTAGAAATACACCATCATTCCAGAGCTTCAACACACTTTCCAGATCATATGTTGGCATCCTATGTCTAGTAAGCCAAACACAAGTTTGTATTTTAAGATGTCAAACTACATGCAACTTTTCAGGTAAAATGAGAAAAATGAGTGCACAGATAACTGCTTTTAACTTCCATCAGGAAGAATTTTCTTCCTTTGATTCCCCTGAGACCTCCAAATAGCAGAGTTGACATGTCAGGAATCCAACCAAGTTGTGGTGTGATCTAGAGATAGATTCTGACCTAGATCCCCTTTTCCTGCTCAATCACACCCACTTCCTTCCCCAAACTCATATTGTCAGCATGCAGGTGCCATATGCTATGAGGATTGGGAGAGAGGAGGCCAGGATTAAAAGGATACACTAGTGGTAAAGGGTAGCTGTGAGATCATGATTTGTTAATCATTTGTTTTGAATAAGTTAATTTGCTCCAAAATTGTGTCCAAATTCAGACCTACTGTTTGAAAAGATTGCCATCAACTGGCCCAGAAAACTGTTCTGGAAAAGGCTTTACACATCTTTATAATGGGTGGATAAACAGATTTATTCTCTGCTATTTGAAGTTATTTTCCAAAATTATATAAAATTTTAGAGAAGGAATTTTGCGAGGTATCAAATCCAGCCCCCTTCCCCTGACAGAAATCCTTTTTATGAGAGCCCTGATATATCTGTATGTATGTTATAAAATGGTATAATATTTAAGTCACATAACTTTGTGAGAGTCACAGCCAAGGAAAATGCATTTATTAGCATTATCATCTAAAGCCTGATTTGATTAGGCAGGTGGCAGAGTGAAAACTGCACCAGGCAAAACTTAATGAATTGTGGAATGACTATGTTGTACACCTGAAAGCAATGTAATGTGTGTCAACTATGCTTCAGTATAAAAATAAAAATTAAGGCAGGTGATACTATAATTCTTTTTAATCTTCCAAACTGCCTTTTATTATTGCTAGCTAAGAAAATATTTTGACAAGTGAAAGGATGTAGGGACTAAAATTAAACTAAAACAAGTCTACTCTATGTAATTATAACTTCTACATTTTACACCCTGCAATGTAAATTATTATTAATAAAAAATCCCACACTAAATCCAGAGAGACCGTGAGGAAGGCTCACACAGGAATAAGTTGGATTCTGTCTCTGGTTAGAGACAGAATTGATTAATAGAATAAATCTGCTTGTTTTTAATAACTTACATTTTATCCTGTATAAGTTTTTCTCTTTTATTTATATCTTCAAGACTTTCATCTATATCTTGGGAATATTGTACCAAAGTTAGATTCTGCTCTTCCAGCTCTGTGAAGACTTGAAGTAACTCTTCTGGTTCTTTGAAATAAAGTTCTGGCTCCTAATCAACCAGTAATGAATATGATTTACTTAAAAATATGCTACTTATGCACATATGACTCATCTAGAAAAATACATTGGTGATGGTGGTGGGGAGAATACCATTCTGATTATAAGAGAGGCATGGGCAGAGAATGGCAAAGAGGCCTATTTCCATTTGAGAGGTGGCCTTCAAAAAGAGGACATTTGGGGTATTAGGGGAGATGAAAGGTATTAGAGAAGGGAAAAAGGAAGGTGAGGAAAAGAGAAAGGAGGGATGGAGCAGAAGAGGAGACAAAGGCAGGGAAAAGGGAAAGATGGGTCTAGGGAAAGGCAGGAGAGAAGGAATAGAAAAAAGAAAAAGGAGGCCAAGTGCAGGTCATTTTCTCCCCCTGTTTTATTTTATATTTTCCCAAAACTTAATAAATACGTATTACTTTAAGTAAATTTAGTTTTTAAAAAGGTGACTTGGGTATTTGCACACCATGTTCATCATATTTACTATAGCCAAGAGGTGGAAGCAACCTAAAAGTCCATTGATGGATGAATAGATAAAGCAAATGTGGTATATCCATGCAATGGGATATTATTCAGCCTTAAAAAAGAAGGAAATCTTGGCACATGCTACCACATGGATGAACCCGGAGGACATTAGGCTCTGTTACAAAGAGACAAAATACAAAACTTTTAGGATGGAGTTAGCTCAAAGTTAGCCTTATAACATTAAAGGACTGTTTTGTTGAAGGTTGATTTATCTTACAGTATAGATACCCAGTATATCTCAAACTCCAATAAAATGATAAGCAATCAAAAAGTGGAATTTTTACAGGATGATTGTAGATAATATATATATATATATATATATATCCTAAATTATTACCTTCTTATAAACATTAATTTTTCATAAAATGATGACAAAGATGAACTATATAGGCAACTGGGAAACAGTATCAAAATCATAATTTCTTCTGGAAATTTGTGGAATATTTGGAGTAAGAAATTTAATTCTTAAAAAAAATGAGCATTTATACTTTTAACCAAACGCAATATTCAAATCAAGAAAGATAATCTGATTACCAGATCATAGTCCATATCATCATCTAAAAAGAATTCCAAACTATCTTCTGAACTGATACTTTCAGTGAGACTGTAAAAGAAAGAAAATGCCTGGTTTCTGAGCCATTTTCAGAACAGATTTGCTTTTATTTCTAAGTTGTCTTTGGAACCTAACTATAATATAGTTCTTTTTCAATAGCCTTTTTAGCCTTTTAGGAAACTGCTGTTTGCAGGAATCAATGGATTTCACAGGTATGCAAAAGAAAATCCGATTTAGTCCCAGACAAGGCTGACATATGCAAACAAGTGAGACCACAAGGAAGGGCCAAACCATATGGTACCAATTATTTGAGGTGCATCTACAAAAAAATTTTATAAAGAAACACATGACAATGTACATTGCTGCATGTGTTTTGTCACTTCTAATGCAGTCTTGACAAACTAAACATGTGCTCCAATGCTCAAAATAAAGCTCATTCCTAGAGTAATACAATATTTGTCTTCTGAAGAGCTGATTTTTTGAAAATATTTTCTGATCAGGCTGAGGAAATGTTGGTTGGTGGGATGGGAGATGAGGTACATTCTTTTTTTCTTTTAATATTTATTTTTGAGAGAGAGAGAGAATGGGGAAGGGGCAGAGAGAGAGGGAGACACAGAATCTGAAGCAGGTTCCAGGCTCTGAGCTGTCAAAGCAGGGCTCCAACTCACAGACTGCGAGATCATGACCTGAGTCGGACACTTAACCTACTGAGCCACCCAGGCACCTTGAGGTACATTCTTAAAGAATAATTATGTGGTTTGCAAAGTGGCTCTGGAAAAGTCCTTTAAGAAGGATAAATTGAAAATGATTGGAAAATTAAAAAGCATGGGCTAGGGAGAGAAAGCTGGCTATTGGTGTGATCTATGTAATTAAAACTTTCACAAAAAATACTTTAGGCTTCCCCAGGGACCAAGATGGTGGAGAAGTAGGGGGATCCATACTTCCCACGACTCTCAAACAAAGAAGTGCAGAAGCCAAAGGACTTTGAACACCAGAGTCTGAGAGGAAAAGAGACTGAATCTACTAGGAAGAAAATGGGAAAGCTGGAAAAAAGGTGGGTAACTGCGAACTGGGGTAGATAAAAAACGGCCACGTGGGCACAGAGGGGAGGGACCCCTTTCTACAGAGAAACAAAGGGAAGAGAAAGAGTGGCTAGGGGAAGTGTCTGACCATGTCTGGACAGGAGAAAGACCTGGGACTGAGACTGAGAGGGATCCGATCTCTAACTGTGGGGCTTTCTTCAGACTGCAGCTGGCTCCCTGTTCACACACCTGGGGAGGAGGGGAGCCAGGCCTCGGTGTGGTGGTATGTCAGGGGCTCAGTCCACAATCAGAAAAAGTGGTTCCCTCCCTGTAAGGCTGTGCGATAGCACTGAACCTGCCTGCATCTGCCACTCCCAGGCGCAGTGGCTGGGCTGAGGGCGCAGTCTGCAGGAGGATAACACCGTTGATTCCCTGTAGTGCTGTGGGAAAAGACAAAGCCTGCCTGTGTCCACCACCCCAGGGGCTTGAAGTAAGGGTGGCGACTCAGTTGAAGTGAGGGCAGCGACTCAGTTCTCGGTAAGAGAAGGCGGTCCTCCCTGAAGTGCAGCGGCGCAAAGCCAGCTGGGACCACATATCGTCACACTGAGTGGCGCTTCCCCAGTGCCAGAGTGCATGGAGCAGGACTTTGAATCCTAGCCAAGCGCAGGGTTAGGGGAGTTGGCCGAGCAAGAAGGACCATCTCATCTGTGCTCACCGCACAGTGAGTATGACTCAAATGGAGTCCACCAGGTCCGGCTCCGTGGAGAAGAGACTGGGGGATCACCATTCCACAACCTCCCCCCACCACCAAGGCGGGTCCTCAGGGATCACTCCCGGGGCCCATAATAGAGATGGGTTCGGACTACGCCAAACCAGGCCCCTTGCACTGGGTAACTGCCTATCCACTGGAGTGACACAGACCCTGCAGACAGCTACTACCTACAAGCGATGCAGCATTGCCTGGATTAACTCTAGGTCAACTCTGGATATATAGATATATTCTTCCCCCTCCCCCATTTCTCCTCCTTATCTCTTCCCTCCTCTAGGCTGGATACTCTAGTTATTGTTCTGTCTAAATAGACATATTTAATCCATTGCCTTGATACATGTTCTACATCTCCTTTTTTACACTCCTTTCTCTCTCTGAAATAATCAAGCCATATAGTTTCTCTGTCTGGGTAACTTTATCTTCGTGTCATTTTCCCTGCCTCCTTCTTTATTTTCCTTTCTCCCTCTCTGGATTAAGACTTTTAGTCTCTGCCTAATCAATGTTTATGTTTTCTTCCCCCTCCCCACCCCAGTCATTTCTCTCTTTGTATGTGCTCTTCCATCAGCACCACCTCCACCCTCTTCTTTACTTGTAGTCAGTGTTTTTGGGTTTTTTGTTTTTAGTCTTTAGTTTTTTGTTTTTGTTTATTTGTTTGTGTTATTTATGTGTTTGCGTGTTTTGTCTCCAGTTTGTCTTTCTGTTTTCCTTTACAGGGCAACTCCAAGGAACAAATCAAAGCACACCTGGTGGAGGGTCCAAAATATCACTACAAGTAGGGTAATAAAATAACTAAAGTCACAACAACAGAGAGCAAGTAACAATCTCCAAAAAAAACACCTCCTGAAAGGCCAGGCCCTGGACAGTGTATGACCCTCCTTTAATATAGCAGTATTCACAGGTGCAGAGCACACAACAAGCTTTTAAAACACATAAGGGACAAAAAAACTAGCTAAAATGACGAAAGGGAAGAATTCTCAAAAGAAATTCCAGGAAGTAGCTAATGAATTGATCAAAACCGATTTAAGCAATATAACAGAACAAGAATTTAGAATAATAGTCATAAAATTAATACCTGGGCTTGAAAAAAGCATAGAGGAGAGCAGAGAATCTGTTGCTACAGCGATCAAGAACTAAAAAATAGTCATGATGAATTAAAAAATTCTATCAATGAGGTGCAAAATAAAATGGAGGCAGCTGCAGTACAGATTGAAGAGGCAGAGGGGAGAATAGGTGAATAAGAAGATAAAATTATGGAAAAAGAAGAAGGTGAGATAAAGAGAGATAAAAAAAAAAATCCAGGAGTATGAAGGGAGAATTAGAGAACTAAGTGATACAATCAAATGGAACAATATCTGTATCATAGGAATTCCAGAAGAAGAAGAAGAGAGAGAAAGGGGATGAAAGTGTACTTGGCCAAATCATAGCTGAGAACTTCCCCAATCTGGGGAAGGAAACAGGTATTGAAATCCAAGAGGCACAGAGAACTCCCTTCAGACATAACTTGAATCAATCTTTTGCATGACATATCATCGTGAAACTGGCAAAATGCAGGGATAAAGAGAGAATTCTGAAAGCAGCTAGGGATAAACGGGCCTTAACATACAAAGGTAGACACATAAGGGTAGTAGCAGACCTATCTACTGAAACTTGGCAGGCCAGAAAGGA